TGAGGTTGCTGTGAGCTAGGCTGACGCCACGGCACTCTAGCCTGGGTGACAGAGTGAGACTCTGTCTTAAAAAAAAAGAAAAAAAAATATCTATCAGTGATGTCGAAAACATTAATTGACTTACAAAGAAAAAATTATGTGACTATCTCAATTCATGCAAAAAAGAAAAAATTATGTGACTATCTCAATTCATGCAAAAAAGAAAAAATTATGTGACTATTTCAATTCATGCAAAAAAAGCATTTGAAAAGGTTCAAATCTTATTTATAAGACAGAACAGAAGTCTTACCAATCTCAGAATAGAAGGGAATTTCCTCAGTTTGGTTATGGTTATGTAGCAAACATATTCTAACAAATTTAATGCTTAAGGTGAAACTTTAGATGCATTTACTTTAAGATCAGCAACAAAGAAAGGATGATGACATCAATCAATATTTACTGTTTAAACATAGAACTGGTGACCGGGTGTGGTGGCTCATGCCTGTAATCCTACACTCTCTGGAAGGCCAAGGCAGGAGGATCACCTGAGGTCAGGAGTTCGAGACCACCCTGAGCAAGAGCAAGACCCTGTCTCTACTAAAAATAGAAAGAAATTAGCTGGACAACTAAAAATATATAGAAAAAATTAGCCAGGCATGGTGGCTCACGCCTGTAGTCCCAGCTACTCAGGAGCTGAGGCAGAGGGACTGCCTGAGCCCAAGGAGTTTGAGGTTGCTGTGAGCTAGGTTGACGCCACGGCACTCTAGCGCAGGCAACGGAGCAAGATTCTGTCTCCAAATAAATAAACAAACAAACATAGAACTGGAGACCTTTGCCAATGTTATAAGGAAACAAAAAATAGTCCTTGGTGTAAGGACTAGAAGAAAAGAGTTAAAATATCTGCAAATAAATTGCTCATCTCCCTTAAAAACCAACAGGATCGACAGAAAAGCTCTAGAAGAGAAAATTCAGCATTAATGCCAGATATAAAAATCAATAATATTTCTCTATGCATAGAGATATCCAATTGCAAACTATAAAACTCAGTTACCATTCAGCATAGCAACAATGCCCCTAAAATATCCAGGAATTTAACCTAGAACACACAACATCTATACAGCAAAAACCTTAAAATCCCTGAAGTGTATAGAACAGTATCATTTGATAGCTTCTAGCCACATATAACTATTAAAATTAAAATTAAATTGAATTAAAACTTCAGGTCCTCAGTCCCATTTGTCACATTCCAATCGCTCCGTAGCCACAGGCAGCTAGTGGCTGCCAAATTAAGCTGCTCAGGTGTAAGACATTTCCACCATTGCAGAAAGTTCTCTTGGACAGCGTTGACCCAGGACAGTGTTGAAGCAGAAGAGGATTTGAATAAGTATATAGTCCAGAGCAAGGATCAGGCAGGTGAACTTGATGGCTCGAATTCAAATATTTGCGGGGTTGCCACACTGACAGATGATTACATATATTTTTTTAACCTCTGATGATGGGGCTGGAATCATTGTGGGGCGGATTTGTGCTCAGTCAAAGCAGCTGAGGAATGGAGTGGGCCGCCTGTGAGGTAGTGAACTCCCCGTCATGGGAGATAATCAAGGCCGTGCTGGTGGCCTCCGTAGTTATTTCTGGAGGTTCATGATCAGAGCAGAGGAGGTCTGGAGAGCATCTCAGGCCCCTTCTATTTGAAAATCTCTGAGCCTGCATCTCATTGCAGCTCCATCAATGCCAAATTCCATAGCATTTCCAAAATAGAGCATTATGTTTTCAATTAAAGTGTATCTATTTCTTCAGAATAAGTAATCACAACAATAGCTACCATTGATTGAGAACTTACTGTGAGCCACGTACTTTGCCAAACCCTTTACATACTTTTTTTCATATTCTTCTTTAAATGATTGGAAAAAGATATTATTCTCATTTAACAAATTAAAAAAAACTAAGGCTCAGAGAAGGTAAGTGACCTGCTCGAGGTTGCACAGGAAATAAAAGGGCAAAACTA